TTCTGTCACTAAATACTTGGCATGAACTCTCATACTACCGATGAAAGCGTTACATTCTGGTTGTAATCGAAGAATGGAATTGGTTTTTATAATTTTGGTTTGGGCTTCTCTATTGGCACATTTAATGGTTATTGGCAATGGGTCTGTGACTGAAATTAGCCAATGATTGGTAGCTAGTTCTTGCACGTTGTAGTCTCGTGCAAAAACTATTGATGATTTACATTGTTTGGTACTTCTGATAGTTGTCGAAATAAGTGTGCTTCACAAATCGAGTTGCTATCTATCGGATAGGGTAGGATATCGGAACATATCTTTCATTGTGTTCGAAGTGTCTTGCAATTGTCCAGGTTGGGTAAAGCTACATATAACATTGAATCGTCGTTTTTCGCGATAAATTTTTGTAAAGTTGATAACAAATGATAGAGCCCTATTCGATTATCCAATATTGGTTTTGGAAGAAGTCGGAAAATTAAATAAGTTTCAGATTCTACAAGAGGGATTTTTAAAATGAAAACTACTCTCGAGTCTAATTGATAGCTCAAGTAACCGAGTTAAGAATATCGTCAACAGTAGATTCTAAAAATGAGTAACTTTCCATAAGTGTTTCGCAAATATTAATTATTTCTAATTGTGACTGATAAAAATAAATGTCATTTTCAATATCGTAGATTGATTTTTTAATAGCCTGTAAATCTTCGTTAAATGTTTGTTCGTCAATTTGCAATTTTTGAATTGTTGTATTAAAACTTTTTATCACAGAAGTTGTGACAGAAATTTGGATAGGAAATTTTGTTATTAAGGTCTCTGATATATTTTGTAATTAAATCTTTTCTTCAGTGATTATGTGCCTGAGGTAAGCTACCTCTTTACGAAGAAACTCACACTTTTCCGGTTGAATTTTTAAATTTGCTTGTCGAAGTCGTTTAAACACTTAAGTAAGTCTACTGTCTACTATCCAGTAAAGTAATCTTGCTTTCATTTCAATAGAATCGGACATAAAACAGTTTTTTCCACGGCCTCTACTAAATGTAATTCTTCAGAAACATGAGATTTAAAAGAAAATTCTGAAATAATTGTCTCTTATGTATTTTAAACGTATTTAATACTAGAGACAAAATTTTCATTATGTAGTAGATATTGGTCAATGGCTGTGAATATCACGCCCTAGTCGTAAATAGTCAGGAATTTCATGGCTGACAGTTCTACGCGACGTATTAGTATTTAGTTTGAATTTATCTGAATGAAGATAAGCAGAATTTCTTGAGGCGAACTTAAATTCACAAATTGGTAAATATAATGATTCTTATATGGAATTTTCATTTCTACTGCACTGACAAATTATCCAAAAAAATAAATAAAAACTTGCCTAATATAAGTTAAATTAAATATTAAGTTTTGTTAAAAATTTCATTTTACTACATTCATCTCCTACTGTGTCTGTGGCCCTGGAGAAAGTATAGTATGTTACTTTGTTGGAATGAAAATCCGATAATCTTTCCAATAACGAATAAATAATTCATCTACTGTTCAATGGAAGGTGCTAGATGGTTTTGTCCCTTTATAGGCATACCATGTCACATTTTTTCCACATTAATTTTTAGAGGAACAAAATTCAGTAGAAATCAAAATAGGCTTCAACAGTCTCTATTGAGAACGTTTTGTAAATTGTGCTATAATTTTTAGTTATTTATTATTTTTAGAATTATTACAAATTTGAATACAATAAAATAATTATATAATTAATAGAAATCCCCTGCAGGGCACCAAATATCTCTATGATAGCTACGCCTCTGTATCCTTATACCCTATATTGCGTCGGATATTACTTCCTTCTTTCCTTTTATACCATCTTCTTGTCTTCCTATCTCTGGCTCTTCTTTATTTCCTCCATAAATTTAATGTATTCTAGTCATCCAGGTAAATCTTGATCTGCCTATTTGTCGTTTATATTTAGCTTTGTTTTTATTATATCCCCTTCGGAAAACCTATTTTTTCCATCTGAGACTCTAACAAAACCACTAAAACTGCTTTCCCCTTTCCTCCCATTGGGTTCAAAAATAAAGTTCTTTATATGGAAGGGGTAATTGTGGAATTTTTTGGGTATTTCCAAAGAATTTATTAAGTAAAATTGTTAGATAAATACATAGACCGTTGTTACTAATAACCTTATATATTTGAAGCAACTTTTTTTTTAATTAAACAGGATTTAAATACCAACATTTTTTAACACCAAAAAACACGCAGATTTGCCCAATCGCGACTTTAAAATCTTGTAGGATTATTAAATTACCTACCTATCCTATGAGCTTGGAAATTAATTTCCTAAATGTGCTTAGGAAAATATTCGTTTAACATCTGATCTTTCTCTTTTAAATTCTGCAGCGACTTTTTAATGATGGCATATGAAGGACACAAAATGTCTTCATCAGATAATTATTTCTAAAATAAATACTTAAATAACTGAGCTAAACTCTTTTTTTTTTTAAATTAAGCTAATTATCAGACATTTGTCTTCAAAAACCTACAGTTCTATCACTTACGGATATCAAACTCCGAAAACCTATTTATAATACATCATAGTTGTAACCATAGGAACTACATTAAATTTCGTTTACTGGAAACTTCCTTGACTACTAGATGATACCATTATCACCTCGTATTTATATTAGTTAAAATAATATATATCAATAAGAGATATACTAAAAATAACCATTTGCATTTTTATTAGTTTTGATCTATAAATATTCAAAATAAGACGAGAAATTTCGTTTTATATTGTGAATTACCATATAGACTAAAAAGATCAATGAATTTATGAAATATGCATTGAATCAAATATAGAAATAGGAAAACAGAATAATCACTAAGACAGGGCTGGCATCAGGTGATGACTCACTATAATAGAGGATAAAAGTCGCTCTATTCAAATATTATTTGATAATTGCTATTAACTATTTAACTAAATTATTAAATCTTTTAAATATAAAAATAAGTGTGTTTTCAGCCTTGAAAACATTTGGTGGTATACATTATTTCGTACACTTGTCCAAATGGATACTACACATGCAGTACCATTATTACAGTAATTTTAAAGAGTGAACCACAAAACCCTTTCTTATCAGCCACTACGTTACCTGCCTCGACCCTACGTATTCATATCTTTACATTTTTGTGCTTTCTCGGGTAAACTTAAAAACGGGTTAGTGATAGTAGTGATGAAAATTATCATTTAAGAGACAAAACTGTAGAAGTAATGTTTAATTCCAAATGTTTTAAGACCTCTGTCAGCCTCACACCTAAAACAGCTTAAAGCAATTTCAAGACTTCAATGGGGCCACACGAGCTTTGGATGAAACCAATGTAACTTCTACATCATCTTGTAGATCGATTCGTAAATAAACTGCAGCAGAATAGGCATCTTCACTTTCGTCTGCTTCTTTTATTCTTTTTGAGTAGCACCTGCAAATTTTGATATTCATAGCATGTTTTAGTACTTTTAACCATTTATTCCATTGGCTGAACATTTTTTTACTAATGAACTCATCCCATCCAAGGCCTCTTCTCCAGATATTTTGCAAAAGAATGTTAACTTTAATGGTTATGGGTGACAAAAAAAACCAACCGGATCATATATAGACATAGCAACTTGCAGAACTTAGCATTTAGTAGGAACTTTGGTACCGTCGATAATATCTTTGGAAACTTTGTGAAATTTTAATTTAAAAGTATAGCAATCTTCAACCGGATTCCACAGCATGCCAAGTATTTTTTCTTCACTTACTTATTTGTCAACTTCTAAATTCATTTGTCTAAGTGATATAATATTTTTTTGGCAATTGATCTAAAACATCCTTCGAATTGCATAAAAAATTTACAATTTCAAAACCACCTTGACTATGAATAAATGTTACTTCCTTAATCAGTTAAACTGCTTCATCTACTCTCTCAGCACCATCGAGATAGTCGTCCACATAGTATTTCTGCATTATCCATTGACAGCTCATTCATAGCAATTCCTAAATTGTTCTACGTTATAATTCTTAACGAATTGTGACAAAAAGGGCGAACAAGTAAGACCAAAAAGCATAGCAGTCATTTGATATATTTTGGGAGGCAAATTAACATTCATATTTCTCCACAAAAAAACACTGGGCAAAGTTATCTTTATCAGAAATTCGAACTCTGTTGAACATTTCTCTAATATCGCCAGCAAATGCAATTATTTGTATTCTAAATTTTAGTAGGATACCAAAGAGAGAAGTCAACCAATCAGGACCTGTTAATAGGAAGTTGTTAAGGCAAGATCCGTTTACTTTCGCTTTAGCATCAAAAACCAGGCGAGTTTTCTTTGGTTTATTGGGATTTTTTACAGGAAAGTGAGGAAGAAACCATACTCTTTGTTGATTTTGCAATTGTTGGTAGCTTACTGTTTCTGCATACCCTTTATTCAAAAGCTTCCGTATTTCCTCTTCATACGCAGTTGCCAGTTCATTATCTCTCTGAAGGCGTTTGTCTAAACTTTGTAGGCGTTGCATCGTCATTGGTTTGGAATTTGGAAATTCTATATCTTTTTTCCATAGTAATCTTATTTCATACCTATTACTTAGCTTGTTTATAGAATCTTGTACTAATAAAATAGCTTGTTTTTCCTCTATAAACCCTTTTCTTTTTCTATTTTCTCTTACCATAGTTACACCAAAATTTTCAAGCTTCATATAATTCTTTACCATTCCATGCAATTGGGTATCTGCTTTTTCACAACGTAGAAATGATATTTCTATTTCAGATGAATTTGAAGCGTTTCCAATTGTTCCATGAAGTGTCCATCCAATTTTTGTTTTTGATAGGATTGGAGAAACTGGGGTTGGCTGAATTACTTGCCTAGAAAGGTGAGCATTATTTTGTCCCATGAGCAAAGTCGACTTTTGTATAGTTTTAATATCTTCAGATACTTATTTTACAAAGGAAAATTGTTCTTTTAGAGTAGGAAAATCGTATTTTTAAACAGGTAGGTCAAGATTCTTGATTGTTCTGATATTGCGAAGTTTGTAAAAACTTGTATTATTTTTACCAGCAATTTCGGTCTCCACAATTTGAGAATCATCTTCAAAATGATATACTTCACCTTTCCACTTATAACAGAAGGGCGATGTAGGTCCATAAAGTCCAATTTTCGTAGCTGTGTCAGATTCAATCAGCGTTGCAGTACTTCCCTCATCAAGTAAGGCTGTGACATCGAAAGTACCATTTGGACCTCGAATCTTTATAGGTAAAATTTTCAATGGAATATTTGGGTGTATTTCTTTGACATGAGTCGTAACTTCAGTATTTCTCAGTATATCAGTTTTACGTAGAGAACTATGACGAAACCTTTCGCAATTATTAACATCGCATGGTTTCTTTTGTTTTACATTTTCCATAATGTTAACGTAAACAGCGGCAGTATGCATTGCATTTTTGTACTATCTTCCAGCGTTCTTTTACACTTGCAATCTGGAACTGATTACATATTTCCAATACATGTTCATCTTGTTTGCAGATTTTACAAATTTTTCTAGTTACTGGTACTACGTTATATTTGAGATTTTCTTTCAATTTTATACCATTTGTAGAAGTAGAATCATGAAGGTGAAAGAAAGGTAGGATTGGTATTTTTGGGAAAAAAATTAAATTCTTGACATTTGTTGTACCCAATCTTGTAAAGACTCTTTATGATCTTCTACTTTGTGGTCGATCAAGTAATTACCTCATTGTGTTAGCAAGTGAGGAGGTAGTTTGTTAACTTAAATTGCTAATAAATGTCTCTCATCGATATAGTTAGCGAAATCTTCATTAATTGCAGCTGCCAGATTTTGTACAGTACTATTAAAATTAATAAACGATTTTGCACTTTCTACAGAAGAGATTTGGTGTGCTTTGGATAGTAGTTCTTCCATAATTGCTTCGGGTCTTTCGTACTTTTGTTTTAAAATGTTTAATATTTTGTCGGGGTTTCGAGCAGTTATAAGAAGCATTTCTTCTAATTTCCTGACTTCACCACTAAGACTATCATTTAGTCTTAGTACATTTTCTTCTGGGGAAAACAAGCAAGCTTTGTCTGATAGCAGAAATTGTGAATAGTAAATAGACCATTTTAGATGTGAAGATCAAAATTAATTGTTGCCCTACAGTTTGGCGAGCTAACGTTGAATTGATTGACTTAGTTAAGTTTTCTACATCATTATTGTGAAAAACAATAGAATAATCAAGATATTATTGATTCTTCCGCATTTCTCAACCTTCTTGATTTTTCAATACTCAAACTTCTCAAATCTCTTCTAGAATCTTCTGATTCATTTGAGTCTGAATTTATATTAAAATATTCTTCATATTTACTAAAGAAGGTCTTTTTATTATCTAATTTAGATTCTAGCAAGTTTAAAAGCTATTTGTTTTGATTTATCTCACCTTCTTTGGCTTCTACGTCCTTTCGTGAGATTATCTCTTTGCTTGTTAGTTCAGTTATTTTATAGTTTATATTAAATATTTCTTCTTATTTTGCTGGTGGTTTAGCTTTTCTAGTTTTTAACCGACTTCGAAAAAGGAGGAGGTTATCAATATTTTTTTTTTATGTATGTTCAGCAATAATTCTTTAACACGAAGATAATGCTTTACCATCTTGTTCGATTTATATGATTCCTTTTTTGTTAGTAAGGGGTACCTCAGGGGTGGTCCCATATAAATTTGGTTAAAAATAAAATTTTTAATTTCTAATACTTGTCTTAGGGTCCGAACTTACATTCATACTCTTACTTTTTGTAGAACCTACTAGTCGGTCTTTCATAAAATTAGTTACTCTATCTCATTGAAATTATTCGACATGACTGTTCTTCCAGACTAAGGGAGGTGTCTGAGTAGCTCAAAAGGATCAAACTATGTTAAATATTCTAGATTTTAGAGAAAATAGACTTTATACTTTGACAACTTTCTTGTTTATTATCAATTAAATATGAAAATACCATGACATTGAGAAATATAGCAAGCAATATTTTCTAACTATAATATTAACTTCAACTACTAAGATTTTCCGTAACAAACTCTTTTCCCTAATTGGTAGAGTATAAAACAAAATAATTAGGGATAACGCCAAATGAGCGCGTCCCCGGGTGGTGAATAGGAGAACGGCCAGGATTTTCCTGGTTAGTGGTAGACATAAGTAAAGTAAGAGAGACTAAAAATTCTCAAAATCTTCTTTTGCAAAGGCTACCGCCGCGAACCAACTCCCCCAGTCTAAGGTCGTGCCGACGGATGAATTATCGATAAACCAGGAGATATATACCGAGACTAACATAAAACCGATTGGTATGGATACGGGATAGTGCTAAGGGCAGTGTTAGAAACCGTTAAAATAACTCTTCATACTAAAACTGATATACTTTAAGTTGCAGAACAATTACGTGACGCAATCATAACATCATATCACAATAACTGTTCGTTAAAAAACAGGAAAACTTCGAGGAAACTGAGCTGGTGTAATAACGAATTCGCCAAACTCAGAAAGAAAACACCTAAACTTTTTAATAAGGCTAAAAAGACGAATGAGTGGGGGCATACACCGAAATACTCAAAATCTTTTGCAAAGGCTACCGCCGCGAACCAACACCCCCAATCTAAGGTGTACGGTACCTGGCGACAACCTCTTGTTGGCGCATGCAAGGCTCTATATTGGTCACCCTTCTTTCCCTAGCTACTCGTGGGAACCTTATGAATCCAAACCCACACCAATCCAAGGAGGCTGAGCGTCAACGCTTACCTTCAGCAAAGAACGATGGACATCAACGTTTACCTCCAGCAAAGAAGGCTGGACTTCAACGTTTACCTTCAGCAAAGGAGACTGCACAGCAAAGTTCAACTCCAGGACAGGAAGCTGGACAGCATCCACCCCAAAAAGACGAGGATGGGCATCTCAGTTCACCCCAAACCGACAAGCACCAGAGAGGCAAAAAGATCTCTGGATCCGAAGCAAAGAGGAGGAAGAAGGTTAAACTGAAGGCAGCCAGAGCTACAGCAACTGCTATGGAGCATACCACCCAATAAAGGTTTAATTTGTCCCGTTCTCTGTCCATGTCCTCGTTACTGACAAAAAAATTAGGTACTTTTTTTACAATACGCTGCAATAGTGTAACTTAAGTGAGTCAAACAAAAATAAACCCTTCTATAGTTGATTTTAATATTAAAGTTATGTTAATTCACAAAATATAAGGTCGTGGTCAAGAGAAAATCCTCATTTTTTTGTTGAAGAGCCATTGCATCTCCAAAAAGATGGTGTTTAAATTGGAATATGTCAAAGAAGAGTGTCCCATTTTTTTTAAAGCTCAATTAACTGGATGATAATAAATTACAAAATGGGTATTTCCAGCAAGATGGTACAACAGCACATGCGAACAGGGAAACACTTTAATATCTTAAAGAATATTTTAATGTCAAAATAATTAGTAGGAACACTGAAATCCCATATCCAACTAAGTCTTGCGATTTAAACATATTATTACGCGACTTTTTCGTATAGCCTTACATCAAAAAATCGATTTTTAATGCCAATCTATAATCTGGAAGATCTTAATGATTTTGATGTTAAATTAATTGTTTGTTTCTTTTTTTTACAGTATTATTAAGAGGTAATGAAAATATCGAGTAATAAATGACATTTTGTGGAAGTGGCTAAAGTACTAACCCAACATTTAAATATCGCAGCTAAATCAAATTATTATTTTACTCGATGGCTGTTTGTTATTGCAGTGGTAAGCTTTTCATCTAAATCATTACTTTTAATTTTCCCTGTGTACCTCACATATTTTATAAAATTTGATGCTTTATTAGATTTTTTATCAAGAATATTTTTTTTGTGAAATGTTTATATGTATACAATTTTTTAGGACGTATATCAACTTGAAAAAAAAGTTTATCTTAACTGCGTTTGAACTCAGAGATTCCACACCGGAAGCCAAAGCTCAAACCACGACGTCAAAACAGCTTACAGTCCATTTTTGTGTACGGTTTCTTTATATATACGAATATCTTGCGGCTTGTCATTTACGGTCATATCGCACGAAAACCTTTACATATATCTCCTTTCTGTCACTGTATAATGAAAAAAGCCATTATGAAGTAGTTCCTACAGAGTTAGTTCTCTAAGTGTTTCTTTTTCTGTAAATAAATAAAATAAATAAACAGTTTGTGAAATAAATAAAGAATAACTAAAGAAATAGTAGGAAGCCAGTGACACTTTTAGATATCCTATTCGCTCAAAATTACAATTTTTTCGTTCATACTTACTTTTATATTTCTGCAGTTCCTGCAGAGGTGAAGACGCATAATAATAATAATTACACTACTGCCACTTTGTTACTGTGACCTTCAAGTTTGAAAAATAAAATTTGGGCTCGATTATTTTCTTTTTTACAATAATATTCGTATTTATGCACTTACTGCGACCTTGAAGGCTTCCTTTTAGAAAGCTATGTCTAATTAGTCAAAAGAGCACTTTTATATTTAGAAATAACTGCTAATAAACTGCTAAGACAATCCGATTACAATAATTTAGAAATACAATTATTTATAATTTCAAATAGATATTCTCTATAACTATAGATAAATAAAGAATAAGTAAGTTGTTGGGTACAAAAAATATTTGCCATATTTCTATAATATTAACACGCCCCTAAACCCCCAGTAGGCGATGATCGCCAATTGATTATTTTGCCAAGGGATTACACAGCCCTGTTTATATTTTAATCGGACTTCTTTACTTTTGTTAACCGGCTTTAGTAATTGAGTGTCTTTTTGTAAAATTGTTGTCTTTCTGAAATTAAAATTATTGCCTAAAATAAAGTAAACGAGCTTCAGTAAATAAAATATCAACAATGATGTTCTGTCATTATCATAGCCTCCCCCTCCCATTAATACTCATCTATGAACGTAGTACCACCAATTTCCTAAGGATATTTAAATTTATATTACCGATAATTAGATTGTAACAACCACCGTCACTTAGAAAGTAACTGCTGTCACTCAATAACAATGTAGTGGCCAAAAGGACTCTAAAGTCTTTTCAAATTTAATTTACGCCTGATGTAAACAGAAGCAGGTGGACGCTAAAATTGAGCAGGGCCGTATTTTACTTTTCCGTCTTTCAAAAATGTAAAATGAAAGAGTGTAATTGTGAAATTATTTTTTTATTACGATAAAAACATATTTTGTAAAGTAAAACTATAAAATAAATGCCATACACGGTCTCCCAGACTTTAGTGACATTTCTGGACGAAGATAGGTGAGCGACATAAACTGCGTTAACCTGCAATACAAATTAATAAATGTATTTGACTTTAAAAGAGACGGTTGCATTATATTTAGTTCATTACATATGTCTACTGTGATACAGAGCATTAAAACAATCATATTATAAAATTATATTGTACAGGGTGTCCAAATAATTGCAAATTCTTTAATAGCTAATATATATCTACTAAAAGCATTAAAATACTTAAAATATAAGAGGCATTTGGTATTTGAATTTGGTATTTGATTTAAAATTGTGCATCTTAAAAAGAAACCTTTTATATTTTTGATAACTTTTGTTCTTTATTGTTCTTGTTCTACTAGTATTTAGATTAGACAACTTGTACCCTGTATTATAGCAATCTTCCTTACTTGACTTAGCACTATTCTGAATCGGATAAATTAGACTTGAAAGGCTATCTTCATTAATCAAAATTACAAGTGGTTCTACCTGAACCTCTATAATATTATCCAACTCCCACATTTTTACTTCAACTTTTTGGCGAACATGGTCGATACACTTTTTCCATTTTTCTGGAGAAATTAATAATATTACTTCTTCAAAAAGAATTTTAATATCTCCAGATTTAAATGTTGAGTTTTTATCTGCTACGTATTGTTTAACGTCAACCTAGATTAATTCAATAGGGTTAAGTTCACAATGATACGGAGACATATGAAGTATTATGTTGTTTTGCTGCTTAGCCATTTCATCTATTACATACCTATCATAATGTTTATGTTGCTTACCAAGTTTTAGAAGTTAGATCTTAAGCATTTGGTAGTCGAATTCAATTTTTTTCCCTTATAGCCATTTTTAAATATCACCTTTTTTAGACGTCGTAGATAAAGCCTTCTTTACTTCCAATATGGCATATAATGAGCTGTTTTTACGCACATACCTGATGGGTTTTTAAAACCAGTTAAAAGCTCATCCAAAAAGGCTTGTCTGGATAAAAAACCGACATATCGAAACATACTTTTGATTTGGTGTGGCCTGCGTTAATCCAAGTCTCATCAAGATAATATATTTTCTGCTTTTCTTCTCTGTACCGTTTTATTTTTTGTGGCGTAGGATGAAACAATTTCATTTTTGTCTAAAAGCAAACTATTTTTTCCTCGAGTTTTAAATTTAAAATTAAGGGTTTTGAAAAGCTTGTAAAATGTAGCTCGCTTAAAAGTAGACAAATATGGATCATCGTTGACTTCTTATAAAACCTTATCAATTGTTGGAAGTTAATTTCTAAAGAAGAATTGATGTACTTTGCGCTTTATTGCATTTTTATCAAAATCATCCACAGAGCCACTAATTTGTTTATAACGTAGCTTGGTTTTTGGTTCAGAAAATTTATGAATCTGCCTATACTCCTTCATAACATTAAAAACGGTTTTAGCGCACATCCCTGTTTTATCAGTAACTCTCCTTTCAACATCATGTACCAACATATCAGGGTTCTATAAAATTTAATGCTTATAAATATTAAGAACCATTTCTTTAGTACGGATGACCAAATGTCCCTTTTTCAGTCGCTTTTTAGAAGGAGTAAAAACATTTTTCTGGACTTCATCTGCTGTATCTGTGGAGGACATAGTGTCACGCAGCAATTACAAAATATAGTCAATTAAATGTCCATAAAATAGAGTAAAACATGTTCAAACTAACAACAACCACAAAAACAAAAAAAATAAATAACACAATATATGTATATCTAAACTACAATATAATGAATTATAATCAATCAAACATACAAAATGTCCAAACTAACCAACACGGTGAATGCTACCAAAACGCCGTTTATAATTATCCAAATTGAACTGAATTCGACTCTGACAAAAAATATTTGCGCGTCGTCTAAATGACTAACGACCGATTAACCAATAGAAGCGCAAAAAAATGTCACGTGAGCTGTTGCTGGATGGGAGAAATTATTTTGACGCGGCGTAAATGAAATCTGAATAGACTTTAGTCATCAACGCGGGGTACACTGGAAGTGTAAGGCAGCGACTGTCACCAGTCAGGGGATAAGGTCCTTAGAGCTTATCCACTCATACCGTGACAAAAAAAGGAAAAATTTAGGAATAAAATAATAGGTTTAAAAATAAAAGATTTTTCCCCCGTGATGAATAGTGCGAGCGGGTTAAGAAAATGGTTTGGCAAACTAATAATAGGCACCTATAGTCCTTACTCGGGGGTAGGTTCGCCGGGGCTTCTCAAAAGTGGCCGGAGTGTCTTTTGACAAAAGCAGAAGGTAGACCTGATGAAGATGGAATATATATTCCACAGTTATGTATGTATTGGTTAAGAATTAAAAGGAACACCTAAATAATTATTTAATTATCGAACTCTGGATTTGAGTAGATAGCTTACCTGGACTAGGGGTTGTTCCTCTTTATGGAACTCGGGCTGAATTCAACAACTCGTAACACACATAAGATAAAAACAGGTGAACGTTTAACAACTCAATATATTTAAACATGTAACAATTTTAATCATAAAAAAACGATCAAGTAATATCATATGTTTGGAGGTACAAGATCCACCCTGAGGTTCTAGCCTGATTCGGTAAATCAGTCGACGATAATAAAGTATCGATAACTACTGTAAGAATAAATTGGCAAAACGTGTCAGAAATCTCGCTGGATCTTGTAGCTACCAAAGTCAAAAAAATAAACAATATCACTTCCTATAAAATCTACGAAGAGAGACAACTAAAAATAAAAGGAGAACTGTCACAATTTTAATATATTAAAAGAGGAAGGCTAACCTTGCTCGAAACGTAGTTTCAATTTCACTAAGTTTAAAATCGGTTGGCTAATATTTATTATTTAATCACTTCAAAAAATTACTTTAAAATTCCCGAGATACGCTTTATCGGCGTCGGTGGGTAGTCGTAACGCCCGGCCCACTCAGTAACTGTCTCTTCCCCTCGTTCTCAAATCATTTAAATATTGGTTGAGACGTTCTTTCTTTAAAATTTTTGATCAACTCATATATTTAATTTACTTTGATATTATAATAACTGTTATTAATATTTCTAAGGTCAAATGAAGGAAAGTACTTGAAAATTTATATGAAATTAGATTTTTATGTAAAATCCTTAGATTAATTAAAATAATTGCCAAATTATTACAAGATCTCGGCACATTGGCTAACCAGTAGCATTAAATTAGAAAAGGGAGTAAAAGACCTGTCTTCGCTGAGCCAGTAGGCGATGATATTATGCAACAAATTTTGTCTGACATTTCAATCTATAAATGTCTCAGATAAAACAAATGAATATAATATAAATAGCAGCACCAAAATTTTCTGTGTTTGTACATTTTGTGTGATTTTAACTCTCTCAATATTTTTAAAGTTTTTAGAGTTTCTACCTAAATTCAATGGTTTTTTTAGTAAATATCTGTTTTTATATTTAACATAGCTTATTTTTGTACTCTTTCCCGTCAAACTGACCATTGAATTTAAATGTCAAATGCGAGTTTGACATTTCTATTTAGTAAGTTAGATATCAAATGTACGAAAAATGAAAACTTAATTCTAAAACAGAGGGAATTGATATGGTGCTTGTTTTTGGTGAGTGTCATGAAAACTGTTTATTGGCTTCTAGAGTTTACGGCCAAAAATACCCAGATCGAGAGAAACTTGACAGACGTGCTTTTGAAAGATTACTAAAACAGTTTAAAGTTAGCGGAAACGTAGATTATAA